CAGAGGTAACGAAGCAGGTATAGTGTCAGCAACAGAAAACGTTATTCGCTCCTCGCCATCCCTCAAAACTAAGGTCCCATCATGCACATCTATGAGAGCCTTGGCGGTGGCCAGGAAAGGCCTTCCCAGTATAAGAGGCACTTCTGTGTCCTCACTGATGTTTAGGATAACAAAATCCACAGGATATGTGAATTTGCCAACCTTAACCAGAAGGTCTTCCACTATGCCTTTAGGATGCACTACAGATCTGTCAGCTAATTGAAGGGTCATCCTAGTAGCACGGGGTTCGCCTAGGCCTAGTTTCTTGAACAGTTGATATGGCATAACATTGATACTAGCACCTAAATCCGCCAAGGACTTCTCTACATGCAATTTATCAATAGAGCATGGGATAGTAAAACTACCTGGGTCCTTTCTCTTCTGCGGAAGCTTGTTTTGCAGAATAGCCGAGCACTCCTCGCTGAGCTCCACAGTGGCCAGCTCACTCAGCTTCTGCTTCTTTGAGAGAAGCTCTTTTAGAAACTTCGCATACTTCGGCATTTGCGAGAGTGCCTCCAGGAAGGGCACTTGGACATTCAGCTGCTTCAGCATTGCCATGAATTTGGCAAACTCAGTCTCCAGTCGGTCCTTGTGCAACCGAGTAGGAAAGGAAAGTTGTGGTACATACTCCTTCACCACTGGTTGCGGTTTAGGAGCAGGCACCTCAACCTCCTTCTCCATTTCTTCCTGATTAGCTGGAAGTGCTGAAGCAGGGGTCTCACTTTCCAGTTCCCGAGCAGGGGGATCAACAGTCATCTTGCCACTCCTGGTCATGATGGCATTGCAGCGCTCATCCGGGGTCGGCGGGTGAGGGATGGTCTGCCCTGGTAGAGTGCCAGGAGCCCGTTGAGCCACTCCTGGGCCACGCTCCCCAGCTGGGTCTGGATATCCTGCAAAACAGCCTGCGTGTTCCTCTGACCAGCTTCAAGAGCCAGGAATTTACCCGAGGCCTTCTCCATGAACTGCTCAAAGGTGTTGAATTTCTGAGCACTAACACTGGCGAGAGAACCCACCAAGTCCCGCAGTTCAGCCATCTGATCATTCTGCATTGGGGCAGCAGGGGCTGTACCTGGCTGCTGGAATTGCCCCTGTCTGGGCTGATATGGTGGCCGCTGGAAGCCTGGTGGTCCCTGGGGGACTGGTGGTCTGGAATTTGGCCCAGCCCAGGAGAAGTTAGGATGCTGGCGCCACCCCTCATTGTACGTGTTGTTGTAGGGGTCATTGCGCCTGACATTATTGATGAAGTTCACCTGCTCCTGGGGTGTGGTTGATTCCTTCATCCCCTGGCAGTCTTCCACCGTGTGATGGGTGCTTTCGCACCATTGGCAGAGCATCGCCTGCTGCTGCCCGGTCCCTGGAATCATTCCTGAACGATCAATAGCTGAGACTAGCTTCGATACTACCTGCACCAAATCAGAGGGATGGGCTCCCACAGAATGTACACCTCGGCTGGGTGCTCTCCTCGACCTCCTGGCAGTGCCCCAATCATAACCATTCTCCGCCATCTCTTCAAAGAGTTGATTCAGCTGTGGTGGGGTTTTAGTCAGCATGTTCCCGCCACAAACTGAATCAATCAGCTGCTTGTCCTCCGGGAAGAGGGCGTGATAGAAGGTACCCACCTTGAATGCATCATTGAAACCATGATTGGGACACCTGAGAAAGAGGCTATTGTACCTCTCCCATGCATCTCTGATGGTCTCATCCTCATCCTGGGAAAAATGTGTAATTTGCTTCTGCAGATCAGCTGTCTTGGATGGAGGATGGTAGCGGGTAAGGAACTTGTCCGCCAGGTTGGCGAACATGGTGATGGAGCCCGGAGGTCGAGTGTCTAGCCACTCCTTGGCCTGCCCCTCCAGAATGAAAGGGAAGTACCTCAGCTGGATGGCATCTGCTGGTACCCCATTAATCTTGATTCCATCGATGAGCCCGTGGAATCGCCTGAGATGTGATCGAGGGCACTCTCCCTCCTTACCACGGAACACCACTGAACCGCGCAGCATGGTGATCACTGAGGTGCTCACCTCAAAGGTGTTGGCTGGGACATGAGGGTGTTGAATGGCTGACCTCATGTCTGCAGCCCTAGCGGTCCAGTAGGATCTCATGGTCTGCTCCTCCGGGATCACATCACGGTTCTCTGGATCAGCCATCTCGCCTTCTTCTTCTTCTAGCTGCAGCTGTGATAGCTCCTCCTCCGCAGCCAGTCGTGCCTTTAGAGCCCGCTTGAAGTTCTTGCAAGTTCGTTCAAGCTCCTGGTCTAACGGTAGTAGATCTCCCGACTGGCTACGGGTCATGCACTACCTGCACACAGTCAGCAGAAACAACCCGTGAAGGCACACAGGTGGAAGAGTAAAATGCAATAAAGAAAAAGCTAGAGTAACAAATTCTCACGTTTCTCCAATAACCTAGAGGGTCCCCGGCAACGGCGCCAAAAACTTGACACGCTAAAACACAACACCAAACTGCGACCAAGTGTAATCGCAGTCCGGGAATGCAGTAACAGGCAAGTTATATTATCAACCCGGGGTCTAGATCTACTGCTTACTCCGTGATTCTCTATTATCTAGCAAACTAGTTCGAGTGATTGTTGTTTAAAAGTAAAAGCAACAAGAAAGCAGTAAATTGTTCGGTTTTCAAAGTCAGGAAAGAGTCACTCGGGATTGAGTCCCCCTAATTCCCTAGTTAGGTTCAATTGTAATTCCCTGGGTTGATTTACTGCTGATTAGACTGCGGAAGATCCGACAGTAGCTTGGAATCTCTTAAGCTGACCAAGCCCTCTCAGTCCAACTACCCGGCAGACGACTAGTCTTCACCGGGAAAGAAAGCTGAGGCTATGAACACAGAACTCCACTACTGGAATTAAATTCCAGTACAAAGCAGTAAACTGGCTAACTCTCGTATAGCCAATCTCCTACTATCGAATGAAGGGACTCTAACAACCTAATCAGATTCTATCTATCTCAGGTTGCAGCAGAAATTGAGAAAAGCTGATCAGACTCCAATCAATTCAATAAACATGCGTCATTCGATTAAAATCAAACAGTAATATCATCCCAAGTCATTACAATCAAATCCCTAACACAAGGAACTAGGGTTCTTCATACCCAAGTGAGAGAAGGGTTCTACTCCATAGAGAGAGAAGAGAAAACAAGAATCGGATTAGTCATACTCATAGCGATGAGGAAAATCTGCTCCGGGACGATGATTTCCACTCCTATGACGATCTCCAAGCTCGATTCGATGAAATCCAGCTCTAAGACAGCTTCTAGGATGTGTTCTTCGCACTTTCTCTCTCTAGGGCTCTGTTTTTGCTCTGAAAACACGAATCTCCCACTTTTGGCTCGGAATAGACTCTAAAACCAGGATTTCCCGACTCGCACGGCCAGGGTGCATGGCCGTGCAGATCACCCACTTGGCCGTGCAACTCAAAACGCAGCGTGTCGTTTAGTTCGATCTAAGGCTTCTCGCACGGCCAGGGTTGCACCTTGCACGGCCGTGCGATTCCCATGGCTTGCCCGTGCGTGGCCTCGGCAAAAAGCGCACGGCCATCTTGCTCACGTGCACGGCCGTGCGGTGCCAGGGTCTGCCCGTGCAGCTTCCTTGAAACCTCGCCACTCGTCCGATCTTCGTCCAATCGACCCCAGACTCGCTCCTAAGCCTTCATTCATGTACTAGGACCTGAAATATCACAAACAAGCACAACCTAGCGTGAAATCGGCCTAAAACACGAGAATCAACACCTCAAACGGTGTAAGAACGAGGGTAAAAACATGTGTAAATAACGGTCTATCACACACACCCCCTGACCCTCCCTCCCCTCCCTCCTCCCTCACCTCCTCCAACCCAGAGCCGACAGCGACGACGCCAAGGGAAAGAGCGACGACGCCGAGAGGAAGAAGGCACCACCTCAGTCTCAGGCGGCCGCGCCCACTGCCCGACGAAGGTGCCAAACCCAGAGCGCCGTCGCAGATCTGCTTCTCCCCGCCATGTCCGACGACGACGAGCAGCAGGCGCCCGGCAGAGGAAGGGGCAGAGGGCGGCGAGGGCGTCGTGGCGGCGGCGAACGCTACAGGAATAAGTGTGGCGGTGGCCGGATTCTCACCGCTGGCGGAAATTTTTTTTATGTTCTAATTTTTTTTCCAGTTCCTAGGCTTATAGATCCTTGTTCGATGAGACCACCACCTGTGGATTCGGAACTTCTTTGGGGGCATGGTCACCATCGTATTGACGCAGCTTGGGCAAACGAGGTAAGTTTTCAAACTATTTCTATAGTTTTTTATTAGCTGAATAATAGAATAGAATAGAATTAAATTAAATTAAATTACGAATAGAATTAAATTAAATTACGAGTAGTATTAGAATAAGTTTAGTTTTGATATATAAATATAAATATTAGGTGAATTGAATTAATATAAGTTTTGTGCATTAATTATAGGCTGGTGATCGATCTAACCACATTCGTCATACAGGCAATTTAGTGCGATACCATCCACTTTACCTGCCACTAGCCCCTCTTACCGGTGATCCGGGTTTGATTACTGCGCTCGTAGAGCGTTGGCGACCCGAGACATCGACTTTCCACGTGTCGTTCGGTGAGGTGACGATCACCCTAGAGGATGTTGCGACACTGACCGGTCTAGCGATCGACGGTGATGCCGTCGTAGTAGACATACCAGGCGAGGACTGGTCAGCTATGTGTCTTCGAGACTTTCGATGAGCTTGGTGGCGGCGTCATCCGGATTGCTTGGCTCAGAGAGACTTTCGATGAGCTACCGCTTTCTGCATCACCCCAGACGACAGAGCAGTTTGCAAGAGCGTATGCGCTGTCTCTGATGGGAGGTGTCTTGTTCTCCGATCGGTCTGGAGGTTCAGTTCACCTGTAGTACCTACTTTTGGTGGAGGATTGGCGCAGAGCGGGGAGGTTTGCTTGGGGAGCAGCTGTGCTATCCTACTTGTACCGTGAGATGGGTAGATTGGCGCTGCAGATGACGACATCTTCTTCACTGGGTGGTGACTTTGGGTGGATGGTCCGCCTGGCTGATGATATGGACGTGGGAGCGGTTTCCTCATACATCACCACTACATGCGGAGACGGGTGCGCAGATTACTCAGGACACAGTGCCACGTGGCCTTCAATGGCTTCCGGCCCACACCCGTCAGCATGGAGATCAGTTCTACCTGTACAAGCTGTGGTTTGACGAGTGCACGAAATTCGTGGTTAGTATATAGCATTTCGTTTTATAGAATAGTTTTAATTGATTTGTTATACATTTAGGAGTAATTATGTGACCAATCCTTGTGTGCAGTGGCGTCCGTTCTTTCATAGAGGTCAAGACTACAGTGCTACTGTGATCCAGTCTGACACGTTTTGAGCAGTAGTTCCGCTGATCTGCTTCTCATCGCAGATGTGGCATCATCCAGATCACGTGCTCGGACAGTTTGGGATGATTCAGAACCGGCCTCATCCTTCACATTCCGCGACTGAGATTAGGTTTTTTCTTCGTCAGGGACAGCATGGGCCATCACGTGGCCAACAGTTCATACAGGCAGCCAGCGAGTCGATTGAGTTGTGGAACCATCGACATGAGTTCATCGCGCGGACGAGCTACACTGACGTACCTTTAGCTTACCACTCGGAACATCGAGAGTGGTATAGAGATGTCACTAGACGTTCAGTCACACGGAGAGTTGCTGCACTGAACGCAGCGGTGAGTTTTTTATTAATTAAAATTTGCGTTTTAATTGTTTTTAGATGTGTAGAATTTCTGGTATTTTACATTTAATTTGCAGTACGACTGCATGGAGTCCGTTGAGCAGGGTTTACGTGATGGGATGAGAGCAGGAGGGTTGTCCTATGACCAGATGGCGGAGTTTGCTGACCAGTTGGCGGCAGGGGTTAAAACTTTAGGTTTTAGTGATCGTCGACATCCTGTTATAGAGCCGATACAGCGGTATCCTGATGAGCGCATCTTAGCCATCTGGCCAGAGCGTAGGGCTCAGCCATCAGACTGGGGTGTGCCACCGCCACAGTTCACGGAGGAGCCCAGGAGGAGGAGACAGCGACGTGAGCAGCGTGGCGTACCTCGAGGAGTGAGGTACTCAGATCGTCAGCCAGTCAGACCTATTTCGACCTTCACCTTCCACCAGCCTTCTCAGCCACCGTTTCAGCTGGGCGCTTTTACCGGATTTCAGGCAGGCACCAGTTCTAGCCCTCAGTTTCAGCCACGGGAGGATAGCTTTCACACACCGCAACATGCTACGATGGGAGGCGGACACATGGGATCAGGTAGTGCAGCCTTGCCACATTTGGACGTCGATGAGTGGGAGCGTCTAGGTGAGCAGGTTCAGTCTCAGGCGACCTTCTCGACATCTCAGTGGGCAATTGAGCAGCAGCGGGGAGAGGGTGCACCAGATGAGCAGGTTCAGTCTTAAGTGGATGATATGTTCGGCACACAAGATCAGGATGATGTGGCGGAGAGAGATGATCAGTTGCCTCCACGAGACAGGAGGCCAGCGAGGTGTGGTACTGGCGACCATCTAGTGGCATATCACGGTGGTCGTCGTGGTGGTCGTGGGGGTCGTTAGTGTATTTATGTACTTCTTTGAGATATTTATTATTATTATTATTATGTACTTCTTTGGGACTATGTATTATTATTATGTACTTCTTTGAGACTATTTATTATTATGTACTTATTTGGGACTATTTTTAATTTCATGCGGACTAATTCATGTTAGTGCTATTGTCTAAATGGAAACTTTAAATATAAAACCAACAAACATCAACAACTAGTTCAGTTCATAAAAGTCCAAACAACAACTTCAAACAACAACAACTTCTGCAAGGTAAATCGAAAGAAAAACAACAACTGCTACATTCGAACAAACTTCTCAGCCACGTCTACTCCCTCTACTTCCTCTTCTACCACCTCTCGCACTTCGTTGGCCACCACTCCCTCTTCGGTTGCTCCCACTCCCACTTGCTTGGCCACCACAGGTTGATGCATTATGTCCCGCTTGGTTACAGTTGCTACACACTTGCTGTGATGAACCCTCCCTTGGCCAATCCATCTCGTTGTGAATTCGTGTTGATCTTGGCCTCCCCGGCTTTCTAATCATGTGCAGATTAGGGTGGAGAGTAGGTTCATTATGCTTCTTCCAATCCTTAGAATCACCAAGAGGAGTGAAACTTGTCCCATAACAAGCCAACACTGTTTGAAGCTTGTAGACGTCGTTTACAAACCTATACGGATTAGCCCCCATTCGGTTGCAAGCTGCAATGGCATGAGAGCAAGGAATTTTATTTCCTTGAAATTTCCCACAAGTGCAAAATCCAGTCCGGTTGGGGTCATCAAAGTGCACTATGAGTGTGTTTGACCCCGTCATGTTGAAATTGTTGGGAGGAGTCTGAACTACATAGTTGCCTTGACGTCGATCCATCGGTGACACAGAATGTCCAACTGCCTTTTGTCTCCAAGGCTTCATCGGCTCCTCACACTTGGTGGAATACTGTTGTGCACCACTTCTAATTTCTGCTCCCGTCTCCAACCTCATCTTATCGAATTTCTCCACCAATCGCCAATAGGTATGTTGCACAAGAGAAGCTATAGGAAGTGCACGAATACCTTTGAAAACACCATTGATGCTTTCTGCCATGTTGGATGTCAGGATAGAACAACGACGCCCACCATTGTAGTTATCATGTGCTAAACTCCAACGAATTTGATGTTGGTCGACCCAGTTATCACATGAAATATTTCTATCAGTGGCCACCTTCTTAAATTGCTCAACTTGACGATCGAACTTCTCCAAGCGTTTTTCTCCGGCTAACAAAATAAACAACCACATGGGTTAGATAAATTCATGAAAAAATTACATGAAAATAAATAACAAAATTAAATGAAGAAGGCTTACCGACTCGAAATAGTTGCTTATACATAATTCTGCTTTTAGTATTCCTTTGCAAATTGCTTGCATAGTCGCATGCACCACCTCCACTCCCAACCTCTTCCGATGTTATTCATGGCTTCATAGAGTCCTGCATGTCTATCTGAGATGATGCAGACATCATTTCGATCAGTCAAACCCTGAACGTGACTTATGAACCATGGCCAACTATCAATATTCTCACTCTCCACTAAGGCAAATGCAATTGGAAAAATCTTCTTCCGGCCATCAAATGAGCTCGCCATGAGTAGCACTCCTTTATACTTCCCAGTAAGAAATGTTCCATCAACAACCATGACGCCTGGACAATTCTTGAATCCATCTATACAAGGTCCATAAGCCCAAAATACTCGCTGAAATATCGAATGACCTGGTTGAGTCGAAGGAACTCTTACCCAATCAATCACCAATGTTGGCATTTTTCTCTTGACCACCCGCAAGAATGTTTGCAAAAAATCATAGGATTCTTCCCAATTTCCATGCAACTTCTCCAATGCTCTTTGTTTCCCATACCAAGCCTTCTTGTAAGTTACTTGCATATTAAACTTATCTTTCAACTCGGCCTGCACAGTTAGAACACTCAAATTTGGTTGAGCACGTACCAAGTGTTTCACGGACTCAGATATAACGTCGACATCAAGATGGCGATGATCCGTCGGTTGAGTCCTACTGCTACAAGTATGCACCAACTCGGCCTTTCTCACGCTCCAATCGCCTCCCACATCTCGACATCCAAACCGCACCATCCAAGGACATTTGTCCTCCTTGTGCACCAAACATCTGATATTGCAGATTGAAGGTGACGACTCCACCACATTATACTGAAAGTTGGGTTGTAGTGCATAGTGTTTAATCGCCACCTATGCAGCTTGTTTCGAGTGAAATATTTGCCCTTGTAGAATTCTCCATCAAAACCACCAACAATAGGCATTGGAATTACGCCATATGAATCAGCATATGATAATTCCTCATCCTCTTCATTACCCTGCAAGTAAAAATATGGAGGATAATTAGGTTATTCTCCTTCCTCCCCGTCGTCGTCGTCGTCCTCCTCCTCCTCCTCCTCATCATCATCGTCTTCCTCCTCTCCGTCATCACCGTCATCATAGTCATGATCGGATGGCATGCTCCATGTGTCATCTTCTTCCTCTCCACCCCGATCCTCACTGAGCTCAGCATGTATCTCAGCACCCAAACAATAAGAATTTTGTGCCATAAAATTCCAAAGCACATTTAAGCTATCATCATCGACAATAGGCATTGCATAATGAAATAAAACATCATTCTGCCATTCTGAATTGGATTGATGGATCCATGGATCAAATGGATTGGTGGATTCATGGATTTAATGGAATGGATTGGTGGATTGATCCATGAATCCAAATGACATCAAAGACTTGGACCAAAATGTAAAATTTGAAAAGTTTTGGTACTAAAATGTCATAATGAAAAATATTAGATACCAAAATGTAATTTTCCACTGCAAATTTTCGTATAAAAATATAAGTTTAGGTACCAAAATGTAAAATATAAAAAATTTAGGTACCAATTGTAATTTGCCATTTGGATCCATGGATTGATCCATGAATCCACCAATCCAATCGGATTTGGATCAAATGGATTGGATTTAAATGGATTGGATTAGGTGGATAATTTGGTGGATGGATTGGATGGATTCATGGATTTGGATCCTAATTGCCACCTCTAGTGGGAGGGATCTGCTCTCCGCTATGGAAAAAGAAAGAATTGCGTAACGGGGATTTCTTCCCCTTTCGGTTGGTAGGGCTTGGTAGAAATATAATAATAATAATTATTATTATTATTATTATCATTGTCCCATTAATTTATGGTTGTAATTCTTCCTACGTAACCGCCAATTCAACCATTCTTTTTTTTATGGTCAAACCTAAACCCAAATATATGGGTGTTGCATTTCCTTTTTTTTCCCATAGGTATTCCCTTAGGGAAACAACAGAGATATGACAATATACAAGGCCTTTGTAGGTCAGGCCACTAAATGGAACTAAGAAAAAAAAACGTTGATCGGCAAGTATATGGCCAACTCAACATTAGCCTTTTTTTCACGGAATGGGCGGCCCTGTTATATCTTCGCAGCCCGAAAAGAAACGTTGCACGCTGGAACGATGTTCGCAGCACCTGAATTACCAAGGTTTCCAATAGTCCAAGCAGTGGCGGACCCAAAATTTTTCCATAGGGGTGTCCTCTTTTAAAAATAAATTAAATAAAAATAATTAATAATTAATAAAAATAAAATCAAAATCAAAATTTGAAAATACCTTACTCGTACAGGTTAAAAAAGTCCATGATTTCTTTTCATATTCGAAAATAATTCTAGAATACACTTGGTGTCTATAGTGTTAAAAAAATTGTCTCTATATACCCTACTAGACAATCATTCACTAACTTATCGCATATTCGATTTGTAAACTTGTTCTCGATGTAACCCAAAGTTGAAAGACTCTTTCAACACTTGCCGTATTAAAGGTAGCTTGAAATTAGTTTAATTGTTAGGTTTTTAAAATAATTAGAGATAGGAAATGACATTTTACTATTACATTTTTCAAAATCGAACAACAAATGAGTTGTAGGTCAACGAAAATTAAGTTTATTAATAAGAATAGTGTTCTAAATTTGAATTACCCAATCTACCACTTATATTCCTAGACACAAATGACAGTAGGATAATCATGTTTTCAAATTTCAGGGGTGTCCCTCACTATCAATTTTTTTTTTGTTCATACGTAAATTACCACCGGGGTTGGATAGTCGTATTCCCAAAATTTAAGGGTGTCCGAGGACACCGCTAAAACCCCCTGGGTCCGCCCCTAAGTCCAAGTTACTTATTTATTTTGTCCAAGTTTCTTCTCTTTTTGTCTAACTCATTTCCGTTTTTCTTTGTGAGTTTCAGAAATATCCCCATTCATGCCCCGACAGCCACAACCGTCGATATCAGTATTTTGAGAATACACCTTAGCGACCAATGGTTAACAATGGCTCTAATGGGTGGTTTTGGGTTTTTAATAAACGAGACATTTGGGTCCAAATATATCGTGTAGAAAACAAGATAATTTGTGTGTGAGATTTGGACCAATTATTTTATTTGTTTATAGATCCTGAATTTAAATAGAAAAATTGAAGTTCAGTTATCCATCTTCTTCATAATCGCGCTGCACAACTTTAGCCCAAACCCATAAAACCTTTCTTTTCTCCCTCTCATTCTCTCCCATCTCCAATATATTCATTGTTTCAACCATAAGCTCATATCGTCAAAGATCCCAAAACCAATCCATATATGATTTACAACTCAAACAATTGAAATAATATTCCATTCACCTCTCCACCATGGGTGAACAGAGAAGACAAAACAGAGTTGACTAGAGGGAGCTTCTAAGCTTCGAGCTTTCTGAAGCACATGTCATCCAGATCGTTTGTTTGTAAGATTTTGAAGAGGAATTTTGTCCCAAAATCCCATATAGGTTGGATTAATGACCAAATCCATGTTTGTTAAGATTGACCTAAATCCATGGGGCCCACAAATGTGGAATTTTTTTGGCTCAAAATCCGTCGACCCCACGAATTATGAAATCCCACCTCATGAGCTAGGATTTTGAAAGTTGCCAAATAAATTCGTTGACCCCACTAATTATGAAATGACCAAAGTATCCTTAACAAAATAATAAAAATACTTTATTAATGATAGGAAGAAGGATAAGAAGGTAAACTCATCATTTAACCCATAAATCCAAGATAGTAAAGTCCATTTTGAAATCCAACAAGCAAAAATACAATTTTTAAAATAAAACACAAATCCAACATATCAAAATCCAACATAATCCTTCAATCCCAAAATCGAAGGTTTTACCAAAATCATTCCTTTTTTTAAAACCCACAAGCAAACAATATTTGGGAGTCCCATCTTTCGCTGGGTTGTGGGGCTTTCCCCGTCGCCAGTCGATGTGGAGCTTCCGATCCACCATCCCACCATGTTTGTTTTTTTTTGCAGGCGACTGTGACCCGCGCAACAGAGCGATGGTGGTAGGAGATGTTAGAAGATAAAGGTTTTAGTACCTTATTGTAATTAGCCGTATATAAAAATATGTTAATTGATGATGTGGATTAGGGTTAGCATGGGCGGCCGAGATATATACTCAAGTAAAGGGTTGTAGCTTTTGTAACTTTAGTTGCTGAACGTGAATAAGAGTTCTGAGTGTTCTCGCGTGGAATAGTCTTAACGATCATCATCGTTGGGGAAACCACGTTAATCTTGGTGTGTTGCAATCTTGTTTAAGGTTTATTGACAGGAGACGTTGGTGGCGTTTCTCTTTTCCCTTTCGCCTTCTTCAGGTTTTGCATGCAATAAGCAAATCTTAAATCCAGAAACACATAATACAAATAAGTCTTGGGATGAGAAGGGGAAGAAGGATATAGAGGATTGGATTTGTGTGGTGAGGGTATAGTTGGAATTTAATTAATTATAAGGGACCATATTGGAAGAAAAAAGAAATAAATGAGTGATTTCAAAATAGTTTATGATTATAAGCTATTTCAAAAACCCTCCATTGCAGGTTTTTCAATGAGTGATTTTGTCAATCTCCTCGGTCTGAGAGGAGTCTTGCACCCTGAAGACGTTACGAGCAACATGGACGATGTAATTATAGAAGATATGGCTGCAGAAGAGTAGGGGACTCAAGCTCCTGCTGGAACACAAATGACCACTAGTCTGGCTAAACAACGACCTCTCGGAGGGGTACCAATACAAAAACCGATGACCTGGTGTGTAGGGAAGAAGAAATTGTTTAACCTCACTTAGGGTTAGAGTTTTACATGTGTTTCAAAGTTTAAGGTTTCACACCAAAATTAGGATTTAGGGGTTTCACTTGGATTAGTGCTACTTAAATGTTTAATAAGCATAGATAGTAATGTTATAAATATGATATAACAAGTGTGTATTTTACTTAATTTAAAATTAATAGAATATAGTGGATAGTTTTTGTCTACTTAGTTTAAAATTAATAGTATAGTGAATAGTTTTTGTCTAACTCAAACCAAACTAGCTCGTTAATTATAAGTTGCTAAACTCTCACTTGGCTCGAACTCGAATTGAAATAATCTCTAAATAGTTCCACTCCAATATGATCGAATTACAATGAGTACACGAGGAGCGCTCTCAAAACAACACAAAACACATGTTTACGAACAATGCAAGAGTATCATCCGTACGCACGCTAAAAAAACATCTATAAAACTTAATATGCACATTAAAAAAACTGTACGGTAGATGAGGGGAAAAAAAAAACACAATTTGATCATTAGAATCATTACTGACGTGCTTAATTCCCTGCTTTCAATTTATCCTCACTTAACAAAATAATAATTCCCACACAAGAATGATGATGAGGGTGATTGAATGAAGGCATTGCGAAAGTGAGTAGTTATGGAAGCCAAGTCAGCAACAGCAACGATGGTGGAGAGTATCTGTGTCTGCTCCTCCATGCTCTCAATCAAAACCTCTCTGCCAGTCCTCCATGATTCAAAGTCTTTTCCACATACACATTTATATGCAACAATGGTTGGATGGGAACTCTCAGAGCTAGCTTTCATGATCCCATCTGTCCGTGTGAGATTTGGATTTGCGATCCAATGACGTGCACAAAACCCGTTCATTCGTTCTATCCTTTTAAAAAAAGGAAAGAAAGCGAACAGAGAATAATGACATTTCCATGCAATCTTTCTGTCATTGGATAAACAAATAATCAAGGTCGCAGAGAGAGGGGAGGGAACCCATGATTCTCTGCCTGGAATATGTAACTTCCACGATAGACCTACTTTGGATAGAAAATGTAGATTTTTATTATCATATTATAATAAAAAGTTTAGTAATGTCATAATTTTCTCAAAAACAAAATGAATGTCTGTAAATGTGAGAGATTCGAACAATTCAATCTCCCCGACGTACAATATGAAAGTGAAAGATAAGCAAGTTGACATGCTTATGTGAGAGCTTACATACAACTAATAAGAGAGAGCGCGTTTTGATATAGTCCAGTTGTATAATCATCTTTCGACATTCAAAACTATCAGGCCAGTTGAAAACTCCCAGTGTTTATGTTTTGATTTCCAAGTTAAATTGATTAGCTTGTTTAGTGAGTAAATTTCGACGCTTAGATTTTTACAGAAACGAGTAATCATTCATCATCCTACCAATGATCTCTACTAGTATGCAGTTCAAACAATACTCTATCAAATGCTCAACATAAACTAAACAAAAATTTAATATAGATTACATGAGTGATGAGTCACTGATAGACACTAGTTATTCGGTTTTGTGTTTCAGACTGAATTGTTACATTTATTTGTGTGGGCTTTGATTGGTTATTTTGCGATAATTTGGGGATTAATAAGTTGGGTAATTATAGGAAATTGTGCTTTAGTATTTAAAATATTGTGCTACATAGAAATGGGTAAGCAAGATTATGGGGATTGCTAATTGTCGCCCTTACTTTATTAAGATCGCCCTAATTTAAAAATTAATTTTACCACATCACCCTTTTCCTTTTCGTTGTTAATTAATATTTTATTATAACAAGAATCCATAAGAAATTGAAATTAAGATTAACTGCCGCCGACCGATTCCCGCCGTCCGCCATCCTCTTACGCACGGGGAAATAAAGAACCCAATCAAAGTTTCCTGAATTGGGTATATTATATAAGTTTAAAGAAAGAAAAGGAATTACGTATGAATTCTTGATCATGTTTCCTTATTAAACTATCTATTTTGTTATAGATATAAATTACATGTTTCTGTCCGCAATCGTCATCGCAGCAGAGAGGGAACGGAGATGAGACGGCGGAGAGAAGGGTAGAAGAAGCGGTTGATTCCAGCAATTGGACTGTTGACAGAAACACAGCGGGGAGAAAGAATGCGGGCAGATGATCGTTGGGAGCGTAGGAGGTTGGTCACGGTTGGGTGGATGGTGTTGCCGGCAAATGAAGATGCGCAGATGGTCGGTGGCGGAGGGTCCAACTGCTTATCGATAAAGGTGGAGGATGCTTAGGGCTTCTATGGGTTTGTTGGTTTTTTTTTAATTTTGTTTAATGAAGGTTATTTTAGTACATTTACGTTTTAAATTAGGGCGATTGTAGTAAAGTTAGGACGACATTTAGCCGTTAAGAAGATTAAACCTAAAAAAAGCCTAATCTCACCTCTCTCTCTTTCTCTTCCCTCGGCCGACTCCCTCTTTTCTTCCTCTCTATCTCGGCTGCCGAGCAGCCCCGGCTACTCTCCTTTCCTCTTCTCAAAACTTCATCCTTCCACTTCACTTCTACTCATCCGATTCCAAGGGCCAATCCCTCATTGATCCCGATTTCCTAATCCCTAGGCCTAGATAGAACTCGGTTGCTTGGGTTCTATCAGTCACACCTTATAGCCAGCCATAAAATGTGTAGATACGTACCACTTCCTGTTTATATGTATTCACATAATTGAATATCAAAACTGTCATGATCTTGTCATGAAATTAATCAAAACACTAATTATTGGGACAAACTATTTTGTAACACGAGGATTAACGAATTTAGAGACGAATTAATTAGTTGGGCTATCACCTCGCCATGATTAATTTATCATCATTAAAACACCCAGCCCTGTAATTAGTGACTTGCATTGCATGCATGGTCTATTCAATGTAGACTCGTCTCTTATCTTGTTGTGCCCCTTCAAGTACCCAAAAGAACAACGTACGTCAACTTTAATAAGTGCATTACGTACACTATTTTCTCACGGAATCACACAAAACAAAAATCAAGAAGAAGAGAACAAATTTTCATGAAATTTGTTACTCGTTTACTTCATGAATTTGAGTCTCATATTCAATTTATTATGGACTTGTCTCAAAGTTCATTGTTTGTTCGCAAATTTTAAGGGAGTAAAATCCTAAGCTCTATGGACTTTAAGGCTAGATTGGCGGACCCATGAACTTGCAAATTCCATAGTTGGAGGGGAGAGTTCAGGTGAAGGCTAACAATTACCAAATCATCATGCGAACAAATCTAATGAAGCAAAACTCATAACAAAATCCA